CTTATTATTCGCATGCAAGGTTTAAATTACAGTGTACATATTATTTTCATGTTAATCCTATATTTTTGTGTGATGAGTTAAAATTATAATTAATATGATTTTACTTTTATTTCTTTCAAACATGTATAACCTACATTATTTTGAGGATTATCATACAATTTTGAGCCCTTAAATATTAAAAGGAGCAAATTAAAGAAATAAATTGTCCTCTTGGCAACTAACGAAGATATCAACTTCATTTTCCCTAAGGATGTGTGCTATTTAAAAAATTACAAACAAATTAGAATATCCTATGTACATATTCTCTTTATGGAGGTGACTTTTAAAAAGATGGAGAGATTTAAATTGGCTGAGTGGAAATTAATTTAAGTGACCGCTAATCGTATCCCGCGACGAAATTATCGATTAGCGTTCAGTTAAATTAATTTTCTTTCATTCAATTTAAATCTCTTCATCTTTTTAAAAGTTTCTCCATAAAAAGAGTAAACAGAGCTATTTCCATTCTTCCTAAAATTTTGTAAAGCCCGCACATTGTAAAAACATTTATTTAAAATAATTTTTTAAAAATGATTTAAAAAATTGTTCTTTAAACTAAACCTATTTTTATGTAGTAATTTTATGTCTTCGCAGTAAGCTTGCAAAAGATCATTTTCACCTGTTGACTAGTTCAGTGTTTCAATAATTTCTTGAAAAGAATGTAACACAAAAATTTAAACAGTTGCCCCATTAAAATAATATTTGATTAGCTTTAGGTTAGGCTAAGACATAATCAAAGAAATTTAAATGCAACAAAAGTAAAATACTATTTATGACGCGTATTTTTAACTTATTATATAAAAAAAATAAGATTAACACAAATACAAGCAATAAACTATACGAAATTTTAAGTTTTAATGAGAACTTTGAGGTTGTGGGATTTTGAAAAGTTTAATACTGTTTGGTTCTAATTTCAAGAGATGTAATTTTTTTTTTTTAAAGAGATGTAATTTTAAGTCAGCTTGTTTGGAGGTTTTTAAGCCATTTGTTTTCTTACTAAAAATTTTAGAAGCAGCACTGAAACTCTTTCCAACTAAATATGAAGTTGGAAGTGTTATAATTAAAACTTTATATACTTACGAATCATCCACGCAAAGTGACCATCCTTCTTCAAAAGTAAATAGTCAAATAAATCGTCGATTTCAAGGTGTTAATCGCTTATCAGTAGAGAGGGTGGAGAGATATCGATCAAATTGAGAAACAATGAGAATATAATTTCGTATATAAGCCCACAGAAAATAATTAAACAAGCCTTGAAATTTGTCTCCACCACCACTAGTAATAGATTTACGACTTATTACGCTTACTTGATCCACCCTATATATGCTAGCTTTCTGTTATGGAAAATGTAAAAGTGGACTATCGTCGAAAACAATACACGATATTTTATTTTGTAGAAGAGCTCTCACGGTTAGATCGAGCATTTTTGGATTTCGCTGGGTATCCACAGACCACATAGCGAGCCATGGTGCTTCAGAAAATGAAAACCGGAGCTGTAAGCACGTTCTACTCGAGGCCATCTAGGGAACGTATGCATCGCATATGTAGATCGCATACGTGGATATTACTCTATCGAGAGAAGACTAGCGGACGGTTGTTCGTCGAGCAGGGTATATATTCTTTATCGCACGAGTTCGCGGAGTCCTTCGTTCAGGAGCGCGCGGGGGTGGCGGTGGGACGGATGCCCTTTTTGTTCTACTCTTAACCAGTCGTGCGTCCCCTCTGTTCCTCTCTTGCACACCGACTAGCAGCTCTTCGCGAAGGGTAGATACGCGATACGAGTACACGTTAGAGGCTGCACGTCACGCGCGACAAAACGATGGGAAGCAATCCTCCGCTTTCATCCTCTATTCTACTCTTTCCATTTGTTTTCTCTTCCGCCCCGTCCCCCCTTTCCTCGGCTCCGTGTGCCGTTCTCTTATTTTTTTTCAACGCTGTTGGCTGAATCCGATACGTCGGGGGAGATCCTGGCTGGGCGCAAACGCATTTCTCGCGGTACGATGGAACTATGAGGCAAAACAGAAAAACTCGTACAGTGAGACAGAGCCCAGACCGTATCCGATACGAAACGCGCGAAAGGACTTGTTGAAAGCTGCCCGATGATACGAGGTCTGCGGCTCACGTTAGCGAAACGCGGCATCAAACGCGAAACGAAACGACGCGGATGGCTATCAATGACGCACAGTGGGCAAAACTGTAGATCGAGCTGGACGAAAACCCAAAACTGAAAGGAGGATGCTCAAAAATTGGCATTTTTTGGACCTGTTTGTAAACGAAAAATTCATGCAGGATCGTTCACAGTCACGTCTATAGAGCAAAAAACGTCCTTATCATTTTCCCACAAATGTGATGGGAAAGTTATAAAAAATGGATGGAAACGTGTAAAACTGACAATAGTTACACTATATTTAACCCTTTGCATTTGAGAGGTGACTCTCAGTCACCATTAGGTTTCACGCACCACAATATCTAATGTTTCTTTAGGTTTAATTTTTTTGGAGCTCGAAGTGTCGATAAAATGATTGTCGGCGAGGTAAAGGTGACCTTATTCTCAAATCTAAATAGCTTAGAATTTATGACAATAGAATGCTAAGAAACATCTCGAATTGCTGCTAGATATCAGAAAAAAAGGCCTCGAGTGCAAAGGGTTAACGCTTCATCATCATCTTCTTCTTCAGATATTAAATCATTTACGAAATAATTGCTAACGAAATTTATAGGTAAATCATTTGAACATTGAAATCGAGTATATAGTGATGAGCACGAGACGAGATAAATCTCGATTTCGTCTCGATCTTGTCTCGATTTTGAGATGCGATTCGAGATTGAGATTACTTGGCACATTCGAGATCGATATCGAGATTTAACGTGGCGAGATTTGGGCGAGATCAAGATTATTTCAAAGTCTCGTCGAGATCTTGCCAAATGTTTTATTATATTGCAGATGCCACAAACAATTTTGTTAATGTTATAAGCCGCTTCGTCTTTAAGGGCAAGTTCCGACAGGCACACAGTGTAATATTTCAGCGATTTAGAGGGACAAAACTTATGTGGTCGAATATCTCGAAACTATTAGGCCGTCCGCACACGAAGCTACTCAAAAGAAACGTAATTGGTTGCTGACTGAAATCACGAGCTAGTTACCTATTGGTTAGTAATGATTTTGAATATTTTTAGAAAAAGCATCTACCGCTGTCCATGCGGAGTAATATTACAACACTGTCATATTCTCGGTCATTGCTTGAACAAATATTGTTAATAATTAATGTAACTATTATTAGAAATTAATTTTTAGTTATTCCAGCTAACGAATATAACGATATAAAAAGTGGAAAAGTGGAAAGTGAAAAAGTGTAGTGTAAAGTGCAAAAGTGCAAAAGTGTAAAGTGTAAAGTGTAAAGTAAGATTAGATTTAAAAATATAACAAAGAAAATTAATTCGATTACATTAAACCTTATATACTTCTCTCCATAATATAATAGCATTTCTGTAGAAAAATTCATTGACCTACAATACATGAGCATTTATTCTAATATAGTCTTAAATTAAAGTTTGTAGTCAGTAAATTTAACCCATTTCACCACTCGGTCAAACAAGGATATTTTTTCCTTTTCTACAATGGAAAGCTCTATCTGTATTCCCTTTTTTTATTTAACGATAAATATAAGTAAAGTTTTCATTCGAATTTTTGTTAGCTAGGTCGACGGATCTGCCCACTGTGCGACGTTTACACGCTTCTGGACAAATTTTTTGCACCGCTTCAATATTACTGGAAAAGTTGGCAGACTCAAAAGTTATGTAATTTTGATCAAATTCGCATAAAACTGTCGCGAAAAAAAAATTAATTAAGGTTCGTAGCTTTTATTTGCTGACTCCTGTGATTAGTCTCATTTGCGCAAAAATTGCAAGAGTTGTTGCTTGCATCCTGCAGCAGTTGTATAAGTTTACTTTTTAATCGTTCTCATTCCGCGATTAGGTAATCTCTTTTACGTTCATTTAAAGTCGCTTCAACAACAGAGGTTATTAACGACTACAGTAAATTATAAATTATATATTAAAAACTATGATTCAATTATTATAGTATACATTTTTGAGTGTGTTTTTGGTCAAGTATGTTACTGTCTTTAAAGAAGTGGATAAGTTTTTTGCAGCCCACTACTTCATTTAGATTAGTCTTAAAATTATCATTTAAATATAATTTGGTCCTTTCATTTTGAAATTTGTTACAATTCATTAGATTATGATACACAGAATTTGAGACTTCATGATTCACACACTAGATAAGGCTCCTTATTTAACAGGTCTTGGTGCGTAAATATTGTATTCCTATCCTTAATCGTGATAACACTGATTGTTTCTTACGATTGGTTAGATAATTTTGATTAAGTTTAAATACAATTTTCGCGATACAAATTAAAACTTGAAAGTACTACTCGCTAACCATTTTAAATAGTTTGATTTACGTCAAAATTGCAAAAATTGTAAAACTCGTGGCCAAATATTGGCTGATAAGAGAACGGTAGCCAATTCGACACTTCTAAACGAACTATTGAAACGACAAATTTTTAACCCATACTAAGTAAAATATGTTTGAACCGACAGACTACCGTGGCTGAATCCGAACATCTTTATGCATTTATAAAAAAATGGTGAATTTAATCATTGGACATTACTTTTCCAAATTTTAATGGACCATTTAATCGTTACCCATTACTTTTTGAATTTGTAATGGACCACTCTCTTAATACCCATTACTCTTTTAATTTGTGATGGAATGGTCATCCATTACCCATTTTTTTTTCTAATGGGCTATTTTTTTAATAATACATTACAAAAGTATTGCAATAAAAGTAAACAATTCCGGTTACGTTCACGTGCTCCAATACATCCAGCATAAAATATAAAATTGTCTAGTCGAGCCGAAGGAAGGATGAATAATAAAAAAAGACTAGTTGAAAACCCACCTCTCGTCTGGAGTTGCTGGTAACGGGTGTGCGCCTACCCCGAGAGAATCCAGCGTCCATGGATCTAGTGTTGAGGGGAATTTGATGATCCTTGGAATCCGTGGAAAGATTTGCTGGACCGCGATGCGGCGGCACCCTGGGTCTGTATTCCATCGTTCGATTGCTAACGTGAGGTTTCGGCTTCGTGGCGATCGAGGCGTTTAAACCGATGTCCGAACTCTCTTCGTCGGCCTCCTCCACGGGCGAAGGCGGCAGCGGAGGAAACTCGAGAACCTCGACGCTTACCTGAAAGCATTTATCATCGATCGCGATGGTCCATCGACTCATTGTAGATTCTAACAGAGGATTGACGTCGACGGTATCGGCATTGAACTGTCGTTACATTTACGGTAATCCTCGTTTGTATGACGACAACTTGTCCTCGTATAAATGACACGGAGGCATCGTCGTACCCTACTTATTCGCGAGAGAATTGATCAGCTGAGTAGACAAGACTGGGGCTAGCTGTTTCCAGAATAAGTTGTTCCGATGGTTTTATCTTGAGAATTAACCCCCTATGGGCTCGCGCAACTTTCAGATCACATGCTAATATATCGATATTTTATCAAATAATTGTAGTTTTTCTACAAGTTAACACTTTCGTTGCGAACGAAAATAAGTAGCCGTTCGCTGGGAGCTGCAATTATGATATTTCTTTTAATGAAAAATTTCTTACAAATGTTCTAATATGCTTATTTTGATAAACATATATTTGTGGTAACTTATTTTATATATAATATGATTGCCGAATAAAAAAAAAAAGGAAAACTGAAAAATAATAAAAACAACCATATATTTTGATATGGACGCACATGTGCGCCATCATCAGCGAAAGTGTTAACGAATACGTCTTATTCATATAATGTCTCTGATAACGAGTAATAACATTGATGACGGTTAGCGACATCACCAACCTGAAATATCAAGGTAAATGCCTTGGAAGTTGTTTGCAGAATAAATATTCGGCCTACAGAATATTTTAGTTCGACTAGAATCATCCTTTTTAAAGGATATTTTCCAATCACTGGGAGTTGTATTTTTCATAAGGGGCTTCCATTTACGTGGCATTGATAGTTAAATAGTATTATTGTGCAAAATTTAATTCAATTTACAACTGACAGGTATAATAGACAATTGATCCTCACGTTCGCATGGCAATTAAATTTAATTTCAATTGAAGTTTGATTTTAAATATAATTAAAGGTTCATTTCAGTTGAAGTCTCTCATCGACAAATAAAATTGACGTTAATTTCAAATTATATTTCAATTAAACAAACAGTATCTTTGTTAATCAATTGAATTTACTATACTATCTGTGATCATTTTTAAATCGCTGTAATAATTGCAAATGATAAAATCATTCTACTTACTTTTTATATCAATGTACACTACGTTCTGTTTAGAACAAGCAACTGTCCGAATACTTTTGAGATACCTATTTTTTGTCTTCCTTACAAGAAAATATAAACCGTCTACTGTAATTATAAGTGTGCAAATACTTTTTCGGCTCCCAATTTTTTTTATTTCTTGCATTATTTTTGTGATATTTGGCATTAGTGAAAGTCTCTAATTTGTATATAATCTATGTATATACCGGACTATTAATCGGAACAGTTTTTGTTTGCATACCGCTTGTTTGAATAAAGTTGTTGTAAACAAAACTAGACGTACGAACTCGAATTCAGTGTCAAAAACTACATAAAAGTACAAAGTTTCAAAATTTTGTCTCAATAGCTACTGGCAGCTAGTTTTTGTGTTTCCTTACAAATTGCGTACACCTCGTGCTATACATGAGCACAACTTTTTTAAAAATGTAGCTTTTGGGATGAATTTTGTTTTTAAATACTGTTTTTAAATAAATAATAAAAAAGCAAGCGTATAAAATTTTTCGATCCGACTTTTTTTTATAAAATGCAAACAAAAATGTTAAACATTTCTTCGTTTACACTATTGAATTCAGAGTTCAAAACTACATAAACGTACAAAGTTCCAAAATTTTGTCTCAATACTTACTAGTAGCTAGTTTTTATGTCAGCGCCCTCCCTTAAAATACCCCTTATAAATCAGTACGAAATTTCTAGGCAATTCTATATCTATAAATCCATACCTGAAATTCCGGATTCTTGGAGTCCTCGAGAATGGCGTCGATTACGTTCTCGATCTGCTTCTGATCGTTCTTGTGGCTCTCGACACCGTTCTGGCGTGATCTCCTCCCCGAAGAATAAACACCATCGGTTCCGTTCGTCCTCCTCCCGTCGAAATCCGTCTCCGGGCTGGTCTTTGAAGTGTCGGAGTCGACATCCGAGTCGTGGCGCTTCCTCGGCCGAGATTCCGCTAGGCCGTCGGATATCTTCCTCTCGTTCGGCTCGTTTTCGAGGCTGTTTCTCTTACCCATCAGCTTCGCGTCCCCGTTCCTCCATCGTTTGCTTTCCGAGTAAGATTCGCTGTTCTTCACGCTCTCGATCTCCTTTATGGCGTCGCTGACTTTCTCGAGTTGTCGGCGGTTCTCCTTCAGGGCCTTCTTCACGATCTGGTCTTCGATCAACAGATTGACCGGGATCTTCGAGGCCAGTCGATCGTTGCCTAGGCTCGCGTTCGGAGATTTCCTGGAACCACCGCCCGGTTCCTCGACGATCTTTCCGCCAACGATGGCGCCGGAGCTGTTCGAGCCGGACTTGAAGGTCGAAAGAGAAACTCCGTTGCATTCGTTGAGTCTGCCCTGGTCGAGGTCCGCTCGACGTTCCTCCTCGATGGACGGTGACAACGGCACCGAGAAGGACACCGAGACCGTGGCCGGCGGTACGGGTGACATCCTGACCAGCTGGACACCTTCTCGCGATTTATCCTTGTCTGAAACGTCCGACGTTTCCTCCTCCTCCACCGTCACTTCCAACTGGCCACGATTTGCGGTCTCGTCGTTGATGGCGGGAAGAGACACGACCCTCACCAGGTCCGGCGGAATGGGCGCCGCGAATTCCGCCGGTGGTTCGTTCGTTGGCCCGAGTTTCCCGTCCCTGAGCAGACTTCTGATGTTGTCGAACGTGCTGGAGTATCGTTTCACGTCCGACAACCGATTCTCGTCGCCGTTCTCGAAGGACAGGCTTCTGGTTTTCGTCGGCGCCTTCGGCAACCCTGCCCGTTCCTTCTTTCGGCCGCGACGTATCACGTAGGTGCCGTTCTTCGTCAACTCCTGCGGCCGTATTTGATCGAGGTCGTTGGTCGAGGAGTCCGAGTACGGGGAAACCAGATCGTCGTCCGTGGTGGACAGCCGTTGGTCCTGCCAGTCGTCGAAATCGCGGAGCTTGGACGCGGACCCAACGCCTGGAAATAGCGGTGGATAAAATTTCACTGTTCGCAGTTGGTACCACAATGACAGCTCTGAACCGCCATCGCTGACGGTGAGCATAGGAAAAAGAAAATGAACACTTTGATTCTGACAGAGTATATCTTGTTTTCAAATTAGATTTTCCCTGGTAGTTGTACGGAAAATATTTTTTTCTTTCCCGTATTTATAGATTTGAACATTTTCTTTTAACTGAGGAGGACCGTAAAAATTCGAACTGTCGAATCTAATAAGGATGAATAAAATGCTTGGAACAACAATGTCGATTAATAATTATTTTTCACTTCATTAGAAAAAGTATTAGATGTAGAAATTAATTCCACGCCACTACATTCATACATTTATAACTCTAGCAAATTTACAAGTCACTTTGTTACGTTAGAGTACGGACTTCTCATATCCTCAACCTAACTTTTGTTACAATGGATCTGAATACACAACTTATCTAAGTTTAAATCTGATCTGATCATAAATACGATTACAATCTACGACAATATTCAACAATGTACATACATCTACATGCAAGAAGTATAGAAGTCATTAAATCTCACGTTTTGTCATTCTTCTAACAGATTATCAGACTATATACTTGATTATGTACTTGAAAATTATTACACGTAGAAATCAACGATGTACCTTTATATTCGATTACTTATGATTGTGGTTTAAACAGAAATATTTACTCGTTATTTTATTTTTACAAGTATATGTGCTTTCTTAGAATGTGGCTGAGAGAAGATTAAAAGTTGTATGTTTGCTTTATACATAAATAAAAGTTTTCTTTATAAATAAATGCTTTCTTCAGAAGGGTAGAGAATTAATGTTTACACCTAATATCTACTTGAGAATATATCCCTGAAGATTTACGTTGAAAGATGACAAAAGAGTAAAGTTATAGAATATTTTTTATTCCCAAAAGTTTCGGAAATATATTTTTAAATAGTTATATTTTTTCAAAAAAACTCAAATCGATACCGCCGAGGATAATCATTCGTTCAATTGGCTCTAGCAATTATTCTTAGTAGCCGATGAACGATTAATTCTGGCGGCTACATTTTTAATAGCATCGCGTAATCGAATGATTAGCTGAAAAGAATTAGACGATTAATGGCCAACTCTAGATTGAAATACCATGACAGCGGACTGTGATTAGCTACGATAACGCTGAATAGTCGATACGCTCGGACGGCGAACGTTTTGAAACCAGAGAAGCGAATCAAATCGAATATTTAGCCTCTCGTAAATAATGACGTTGGGTGTAGCCGTAATTAGTCATTTATCGTTCATAAACGTTATCAACCAATTGGTTGTAGTCATCTACGAAACTATTAAAATAGAATGAACTATAGAAGATGTAGAATATATAAATTATACAGGATGGTCCATGTAACGTGCTCATTACCTTCTAAAGTATGCATTGTATGAAAAAAACTTTTATACAAAAGTTGCATGATTCAAGAAGCACATTATGTACTGCATATGTGACTTTTATAGATGGAGGCCATTTTGAAATTTCAAGATCAACTTTGTTATTTTGAATGAAATACGATACTTTTTATGACAATACATATATCGAAGAACGTAGAATTCTGAGTAAAAATGTATTGACTTTTATTAGTTCTAAGCGTAACAGTTAAGGAATGGTTTTGCTTCGATTCTCGGCATGTTACTTAGCGTAATATCAAGTTTAAGATTCAATGCCCTTACAGATTTCCACAGGACAACTTGTTCTATTTCTTTTTTTTCAAGAGTAGATTCCAATTCTTCGATTAACACATTCGCTGATGTGAATTGACGTCACTTTAAATTCTATTCCTGGTTATGACAAAATTATGCAAATCTTGTTACTTTATACACTACATATTTATAACATTGATATTTCAAGATATATTTTGTCATTTTTATCTTCGCCCTAACGATACAAATTTGCGATGTCTGGCTTCAGAATTTTATTATTTTCGTCAGTACTCGGCATTAGAAACGTAAAATATCTACCGGTTGCGAATATGTTAACCCTTTGCACTCGAGAGGTGACTTTCATTCAGAAGGTGAATAGAATTATACAGAAAAAGAAAATATTGCAAATATAAAACAATGTGCTCAAATAACGGGTATATATCGGTCCATTAGTTTTACAAAGATTGTAATAAAAAATCCAAAATGTTTCGAAATATTTCATACTTTACAGAACTATTAAATTATTATTTTTTAATATTATTCAGTTGTTCTTCATTAACATTATATATCGACCTGATTGAATGTTATATTAAAATCCAAATTTCAAAATAAAATATACTCTTTCTCAGATTTCACATCACTGTTCAATTTAGCGAAAGTAGCCCTTTGCGCTCGAGGCATTTTTCTATAGAATCAAATCCAGTCCATTTTTATAATAAATTTCTGTGAAACTAAAAACTCTACTTCGAAGAGAAACATTTACGAACGTTCATGGCTCAATGTATTATTATTTCAACTAATAATTAGTTCTATTCTGATTTAAGTGAATTTGAAATTGCACGTTCAAAAAATCACTTTTAAATTACATATGTCGTCCTAGAGGCGCCACCCGAGTGCAAAGGGTTAAATATTATTTTTTGGACGCATCAAGTTCCATTTTATTTGTATGTCAAGAGGTTAACTATATGACAACAATACTATATGTAGTCAGGTTTTTTTGTAGTACCTTATACTTATATATTTTTCCTGATAAATCATTTCCTTTCTCTCGTTGTTGCGAAAATGTAATGATCTGATCCAGTTATATGTATATGTATAATACATTCGATATTGCATAGCCTAAAGATGTTCAATTGGACCATAAGGATTTAAGTTTGAATTGTTAATCCTTAAGGGGGTATCCTGAATTAGGAGGTCTAAAAAAAGCTGTTTTTCGTGATTTTTTTTGGATGGAAAAAGATAATTAATTCTATCGAACTTTTTATCCTATTTTCATACATATTTGAGTAGTCTGTACAAATTTTTTCAACAAGAAATATTCAAATTGAGTCGACTGCGACGCACATTTGTAGAGCACCTCACAATTAAAACCTCCTATGGGCGAGAAAGATGCAGCTCGTAATTTTGGTTTGCCACAAAAAAACCAAAAGAAATTTACATTTTCATACGTTTTTGTTCTATGTGAACTAAGAAAATTCATACAAAAAAAATTTTAAATAACTTTTTGAACAAGTTAAAGTGATTTTTTTCACCCAAAGAACTCGTTCTTTTTTTCAGACTTGCAGTAATTTCACATTTTACCATTTTTGCAGGATTTTCTTAGTTCACGTAGAAGAAAAATGTATGAAATGAAAATTTCCTTTGATTTTTTTATGTCAAACCAAAATTACGAGCTGCATCTTTCTCGCCCATAGGAGGTTTTAATTGTGAGGTGCTCTACAAATGTGCGTCGCAGTCGACTCAATTTGAATATTTCTTGTTGAAAAAATTTGTATAGACTACTCAAATATGTATGAAAATGGGGTAAAAAGTTCGATAGAATTAATTATTTTTTTCCATTCTAAAAAAATTCACGAAAAACCGCTTTTTTAGACCTCCTAATTCAAGATACCCCCTTAAGCCCTTGTTTATTGGGGATAACTCCTGTAAAACTAAAAGCTTCAATAAACAACTTAAAAAAAAAGAAAACTATATGACAACGATCGATATCCATTTGTAAATGTAGTTAGTAGAATCAAATGAAATGTAAAGAATACGATTAACGGAAAGCGGTTCTTTGAAAAAGACTTACTGGATACGTCGCTGCTCTTACGCCGTCTCCTGCCGATCACCTTGGTGCTCCCCGGAGCGTAGAGAGGGTCATCCTCCAGGGACACCTCCCAGGCGATCGAGTGTCTCTTGCTGATCGGTGGCGGAGGAGGCAGAAGCTCCTCCAACGAGTCGTCGGAGAACCGTTCCTCCTCGGACTGCGTTCTGAAGTCGGTGGAGTTTCTTGTGGAAAAGTCCGAGTTCCTCGTGGAGAACATGTCGGAGTACCGCTCGTCGGAGCATCTGTCCGACGCGGGTGCCGAGAATCTCTCGCTGGAATCGGCTCGCGTCGGCAACGAGAACGAGACGAAATCCAAATTTCGGATCGAGAACGGATCGGAGGTCGGCACGGAGACCCGGTCGTTCGAGCTGGCGCTAGCCACGGCTATCGAGAAGTCCGAGTGAAACCTCTCGTTCGAGTTCGAGGTCGAGTTTGCCCTGGAAAAATCGGACGAGTCACAGGTGGCGCGCATCGAGAACCTCTCGACGCTGACGGAACTCGAGCGCGGAATCGAGGATCTCTCGGACTCGGAGTTCCGGGAGAATCTACCCTCGCTGGAGTCCGAGTCGTTCCTTCTTCTTGCGTTCTGCTCGGAACGGTCGTGATTCATCAGAAGTCTGTCCTCCACGCTGCTCGATTTCATCATCTCGTTCTGACGCTGATTCCGCAAATGCGAGGTACGGTCGTTCTCGAAGCTCTGCCGATGGGTCTTGCTCTCCCGTTCGGGACCCTCGAATCCCTCTTCGTCGGAGGAACGTCGTCGTACCTCCCGATGTCTCTCGACGGCCGTGGGGTTGGTCCTCGGGGGGATCCAACCGAAGGACACCTTGCCGTCGTAGGGGAGGCTGGCGAATTTGCTCGGGGGACTCGGAGGTTGCGCCAGCTTTAGGGGGTCCGCGTTGTTACCGTTCTCCCATCCGTACGGTCTCTGGTGCCGCGTCTTCGGCTGTGTCAGAAAATCATTTAACATCAGGCTTATCGGACGGAATCGCCATTGATAATGGCAGAGATGGGGGTATTCATTCATTCATTTATTCATATTTATGAATATGAGTAAATTTCACATCACGCGGATGTGTGAATATGAATATGAATAACTCGTTATTCACATTTTTATTCATAAATAGCGCGTTATTCACGTCTTTATTTATAATTAACTCTTCATTAAATAACGTTAATCACTTACTTACATTGTTTACTATCCCACACAGAATCGTTTTCGCTCCAACCAAATGGGTAATCACAAAAATGATGTAATTTATTCAAATAAAACAATCATTGTTGTTAGTATTATAAAAAACATTATAGTTGTGTTAATAAACACGTATACGAAACTCTGGAATATGTATAAGCATTTTGGATAATGAATTACTGACACACTTTCATTAAGCGAATTGTAAGCTTCTCTTAAGCTGGCAGGACCAAATTATTGTTTGTGGTACAAATTAGTACAAAATAATTACTAAATATTCCACTAAGTCGGATATGATTTTGCTGAATTTATTCTGCTGATTTGATTCTGCCAGCTTAAGAGAGGTTTACAATTCGCTTTGTCGACCAGTAGCCACTGTATATCACATGTTGTCATGTTTTTTAGGATACCGCCAAGCTTGATGGCAAACTTAGGCGATCGGGAAGTTGAAGAATAAACTTACTTAATTTTTTTACTTACTTTTGTTCAAGTCTGGGAAATTAATTATTTTCTCCCTTTATCATTATTTTTATTCGGTATTCTTACAACCAAAAGGTATTAATGAAAGTATGTCGTTAATTCGTTATCCAAGGTGCTTATACATATTCCAGAGTTTCGTAGACGTGTTTAATAACACAACTATAATGTTTTTTATAATACTAACATCAATGATTGTTTTATTTAAATAAATTACATAATTTTTGTAATTGACCATTTGGTTGAAGTGAAAACGATTCTGTGCGGGATAGTAAACAATGTAAGTACGTGGTTAACGTTATTTAATGAAGAGTTAACTACAAATAAAAATGTGAATAATGAGTTATTCATAAATCCGCGTGATGTGAATTTATCCATATTCATATTTATGAATATGAATACCCCCGTCTCTGGATAATGGCAAGAATTGTACGAGAAAAGAAAGATCAATCTCGAAAAGAGATTGAAAAGAGAATGGTTATACAGTAGCTGTCACTTATAATCGTGCACCTACTAATTCGGTCGACTTTTTCGTATGAAACATGAAAATCATCCTAAACGATCGAAGATCATATACTTCGTTACTCTTTCATCTCATATGTTAAAAAAATATTATTATAATTGTAGTAGTATTTAGTACACTAAATACAATTATCATCATGCATGATACTAAGCTCATGTCATACCCTATGTTCCTTTGTATCAAAATATCCAGAAAGAATGGAATATAATTGAATTAGTAAGAATCTATTAGTTTTGTGTGTTGCTTCAACGGAATGCAGAAGAAAAATAGTTAAAATGCGACAAATTACAACTGCGGAGCGTGAATTAGTTATTTATTGTTATAAAACTAAAAGAAATTATAATGAGATTAGTGAAATTGTTAATCGAAGTAGAAGCGCAGTACAATACATATTAAAGCGGTATAAAGAAGAGGATGGCTAATTAAATAAACTGAACATGAAGTCCGATCGAAAACTGAATTTGAAGGACGAGCGATGGATTGTCAGGAAATTTAAGGACAATCCGAAGATTAGTGCTCTCAAATTAGTATCGGACGTAGAAAAGTATTTAAATAAGAAAGTGAGCGATTCAACTATTAGAAAAGAGTACTAAGGAAAACTAATTATCATTGGTAGAATTGCACGAAAGAAGTTGTACATAAGTTTACAGCTTTACAGAATAGGAAGAAGAGACGCGAGTTTGTCAAAACTTATATAAAAGAAGATTTTACTTTCTGGAAAAATGTGATTTTTACGGACGTATCAAAATTTAATATCTTTGGCTGAGATAGGAAAAAAATTGTATGGAGGAAACCGAATACGATAATGAATATTAGTCCAATCAACAGTTAAATTTTGCGGTGGATCTCAAATGGTGTGGGGTTGTATGTCAGCATTTGGAGTTGGAAAAGTATTATATTTATTTATCCACGATAAAGTGGATAAGTGGTTTTATTTAAACATGTTAAAAAATAATCTGAAACGGAGTGCTGAGAAAATGGGGATTTTAAACGACTTTAAATTTTACGCCGACAATGACCTTAAGCATACTTCTTATGTAGCGAAAAGTTGAACATTGTACAACTGTCTTAAAGTTCTTTAAACGCCTCCACAATGTGCTGATGTTAATGTAATAGAACATCTTTGGAACGAATTACACAAAAAAAAAAAAAAAAAAATTCCATAACATTCTAAACCAGGAAAGCTTTAGAATCACTTTGCAAGAGTAATAATAAGAAATAACACCCGAATTTTGGTAAAATGTAGTCAAATCAATACCTAAACGTTTAAAATATATTGAAAATGCATTTTTGATGTGAAATTTTGATGTGCAAAGAACTACAAAATGCACACAATATGTAATAATGTAAAAAAATATCGAAAGTAAAGTTCATATCATAATATTTTCAGAGAAAAATAAATTCCTATTTAGGTTCAATGTTTGTAGGTACGTTTACAAAGATTTTATTTTGCATGAAAATCCACAGTCTACTTATTATGGCATAATTAAAATACATAATTTTTTATTTAAAAAAATTAATTTGTTTTGAAAGTCTTCCTCGCTACTTCGTTTACAGAAAAAATTATTTACCCCATACGATGTCACACTTTGCACCAAATAACTTTTGCAAAAAAATTGTGTGACAACTTTAACTTCTCGTAAGATATTTAACCATTCCGCGTTAAACGAAACACCTTACACATTGTTCTTTTTTTATTCTTTTCTCTCCTTGTTAGCTATTTTCATTCTGTACCAAAGGAGGATGGCATCGTTAGGCTACTAAACAAATACGTCTGAGAGCGAGTGGAGAAATTTCTGCTTTTACTCGCACGCTGCCACCGATCAAAGCGTTTGACGCGATGGAACTTCGCGATTCCTTCCAGGACTGATCTTCCTTTCTTCCCGCAATACGTGTACTTACGAGAGTCGTCTGAGTGGTAACCGCGCTACCGTTTCCATGCCGTATGCTGTCCTCCATGGCCATCATCCATTGTTGTCGTCCACTTCGACGATCCGTGGAATGGCTGCTCCTTTTCGAAGAGTTTCCTGGCGATACTCTGGCGACAGAAATAGACAGACTTTTATTCGAAGAACGAATGATTCAATCGAAACTTTTATCACTATATCATCGATTCGAATTTTATTCGAAGAACGAATGATTTAGTCGTCATTTTTATTCTATCGAACAGTTGTTCTTACAAGATCTCATTCGTTCAACGTAAAACATAATTTCAATTGTGATTTCGATTAAACAAATAACTCTTCAAAGTTATGATTTCTCTGGATCTAGTACTTTTTACAGAAACTATACCCTTTAAGAAATAAGTACCTATAAACGTTTCTATCTTAACAGGTTGAAGGGTATTTCCTACCCCTAAAAAGCGTATTTATTTGAAACAAAGAAGCACGTATTTAAGATTTTTCAGTGTTTAATAAGTACGTTCAATTTCATTCGAATCAGTGAATTATGAATATCGTCCTCTGTACTGTCTTAGCTCGTTTTTGAGTGAACCATATATTAAAGGATTACAGTCTGTCTCACAAGAGCATGTCGACTATATTTTTGTAAATATTTATATATTTGTACAAAGTTTTATATGGCTCGAATCTATACCTAGAACCCTAATTTGCATTTACCTACAGTAGTAAGGTCTCCAATATCCTCCATTAGAAATTATAGCTTGGCACCGTCTCGGCAAATATATAAACATTTACAGAAATATAGCCGACACGCTCTTATGAGACAGACTGCAACAATTATTCATAGCTTTCTCAAAGATTGTGATATAAGAATTTGACGTAAATAAATTGTACTTATCACAACTATTGTATGCTGTATGAACCTCTTATTTTTTGGAGCGATAAAACTAGAGGAATAAAACGCGTGTACATAAAACTAGAAATGTTCGATTTTAAAATGAAAGCGCCAACGTCAACTTCGATATCTTTCCTAGCAGAACAGACATCTGATTTAAATATCATTGAACCACTTGCGGGTAGTTTTAGAGAAGAGTGAGAGGCAGATCCTCTGTCCCGATACTTGTAAAGTACTTGAAAGTCGCTTCGATAGAAGAAAGGTATAACGTTCCAAAGGAAACTATCCAGAAGTTGCACGAGTCTATTTCACTAAGAATAAAAACTGATGTGGGGGCAAATGGCTCCAAGGTAAATTTCAACATCTTTCTTAACCAGTACGGTTACTTGATTTAAATATCGTCGAAACTTTGCGGTAAGTTCTGGAGAAAAGGGGAGAAATAGATTTCCTCCTTCAACATCTTAAAGCAAGCGAATGACGACGTTTTAATAGGTGAGAGAATTTGTTCAACAGATATTTGAATTTATTCGCAAAGACTGCATTAAAAGCAAACGGATCCAAGATGAACGATAACGTCCTTTCTTTAAATGGCACTCGATTTAAATATTATGAAGCCACCGTGAAAAGTTGTAGAGAACAGAGAAACTAATCCTTTCTTTAACATCGTTGAAACACTTGCAAGGGGCTTCGATAGAAGAATGGAATACATCTCCAATGGGAACTATTCAAAAGTTATACGAGCCTATTCCAAGAAGAATTGGAACCGTTTTAAAGGCAAATGGCCCCAAGACAATCTTTGTCACCTATCCTATCAGCATAGTCACCTGATTTAAATATTATGAAGCCATCTCGTGTGGCTTTAAAGAAGTGAAATAACATTCTACTGGAAACTGTTCGATAGCTGTTTGAATCTATTCTATGGAGGATAGGAACTGTATTAAGGGGTTATTCTCGTAAAAGGAAAAATATTTTTTTTAAGTATTCTTATTTCGCATAACAAATAATTGTGGAATATTAATATTTTTACACATAATAACAGACACGTTACACCAATAAAAAAATTTTTGTTGTCTGTTTTCAATCGTTTTTTCGCATTAATAATAGCCACATGAAATTTGACCTCTTTTGGCAGTGTTCATACGGTAATTTGACATTGGATCATCCGAAAGCAAAAAATTAAACAGATCACTACGTTATAGTTTTGTAATTATGGACCTTAATAAAATTATAATTGTTGTCATTGAGAATTTAAGTACATTTGTATTGAACGGGCCGAAACAAATGTATTAGGTTGGTGCATACGAAATATCGTTTTGTTTTTTGCAATCAAACGAATTCGATTTTAGTACGGGCGATAGCGACAAAACTATTTTAATAATTTGTTTGATTTTTTCTTTCGGTTGATCCAATGAGAATATGTACTGTCAAACATGGAAAAACAGAACAAATTTCAGATCATTATATCGACGATAGGATGACGATACAATAACGAAAGGATTTAATCTGTACAAAAAGAAAATATGCATTTCCATCTAAAAAAATAATGTAATTATTAAATGCACACGCGACATTGCACTTATACCAAAAATATGGTCCTACGAATACTGTATTCTTTGAACCATACCCTTTGACATTTTTCTTTAAACGTACTGATAATAGAGATGTGGCTTGTCACACTTACTTGACTCATCCCGTATATGTTCATTTGCAGGAAGCAGTAATTTAGTAAACCTTGAACCCCTGTTTCCTAACATTTGCTTTTGAATGGTTCAATATCAAGTTATTGTGTCAACCATGGAAAAACGGGGTCAATTTTACGTGACTATATCGATGAAAAATTTTTAATAAAAAATGAACAAAATATATTTTACTTAATTCTCTGACATGTCTACTATTACGCATAAGAACATTCCTTATTCCACAATTATTTGCCATGCAAAACTTAGTATTCGCATTATTTTGTCTACCCTCTGTATGTATCAGGGAAAACGGCGCAACGACTGGTCTCATACTGGTCCAAGTAGGTAAGAATGGATCTGCGAGCTTGAGAAGCGTAGAAAAAGAATTGGTCGAGCAGATCGAGATGCTCGAAACGAGCGATCGACCGGTTCTCGACTTCCGTCCTATTGGCATTCCAACGGCGACAAATCGAACTGAACGAGGGGGAGCATCTCGGCGTCTGCTTTTTTGCATCGACAGCTTCTAAGAGATCAATATTTCTGCCGATGCAACTCTCGCTCAAAAAGGAAGAGGGTTGGCTGTTCGGAAACAGAAGCTGCTACCCCGACCTAGCATCGATCTTCCGAGACCATCGTCGTTCCATTAATTGCGTTAGGGTTCACTCAAGCCATCGAGTTGCCTTTGCACGAGAGTTCGCTCGAGGACCAAACACAGATACATAATCAGATTTTTACATCGCTATTGCTCGCTTTTTCCTGATTAACACAAAATTATACAATTAATAAGGAGAATTTTACACAACCCATTTGTACCCGTGATATCGTTTTCGATTTGCTTATTTGTCAACTGTCAACTATCTTTGTTTACTATTTGCTTTATTGTGTCAATTTTATAATGGGTTATGCCCGTATATATATTGAAATAAATAAATAGATACAAACCACAGTTTCGGGCAATTTTCATTGTTGTTATCGCGGTACACGCAGTAAATATCAAGTTGTCCTAAAAGTTTATTTCGTTTTAATAGTAAGTACCTAATACATACACAATATTTTGTTTTATGTTACGTTACTGAGTTGTATGCGGACTACTATGATTTATTATTTTCTTTCATCTCCCTAGAAGCAGCATAATGTCATCTTTCCAAAAATGTTGTAGTTTGCTAGCAAAATATTATTTCAAATACATATTCGTGACCTTTTACCACGAAGAAGATTATTTAATAGAAAGAATAAATAATAACCACATAGGGCAATGTCTGGAGAGTACGGAGAATGAGGTAAAACATTGCAGTGAAACGTTAACAATTTGTTTCTAATGACTAGACTGCGGATCTTTATGCAAAATAAAATCTTGGCGAACATGCCTACAAAAATTTCACCTAAATAGGAATTTATTTTATTCTGCAAATATCATACAATGAACTGTACTTTCAATATTTTTTATATTCTTGCATATTGTTCGCAGTTTGTAGTTTCTTGTACACTGAAATTTCCTATAAATGCATAAAGATCCGCAGTCTACTAATGACTAAAGAAAAGTGGAGGTTGGCGTTATTCTGCTGCAAAACAATACCTCACGTGTTCCACGTAGCCGAGCTTTTTAAAATAATCGCGTACTGTTGTTTGGGGAATTTTTAATCCGTACACCAATTCACGAAACATTTTGCCTATGTAGAACTCTTGTTTGTGGCTCGTTCGTTACGGTTGCAAAACTGCTTCCGTAAATTTGTATTATTACAGACAAAGGATAATAAATTTGAAATATTATAAAATAGTGTAAGTTTCCTGGACTATAAAGAAATAATGATCAACGTTAGTTCTTTTGCTATTATAATAATAAATATTTTTAAATAATAATAATATTTTAAAATAATAATAAATATTTTTGGTTTAGTTTTGTTTCTCGCTGTATATGCTGGTATGATATAAGTGAGTGTAGGCATCCACTACAATAGCAGTCGACTCATTCATGTACGCCAAGTATTAATTACATTCGTCTCTCCTTGGATGAGTTACACTACACGTTACAGATAACGTATTTGCACGATAAACGTGTTTCACGGAATTTTTGTACACAACTTTATTGGTAACAGATACAAATACAAATGGAGTGCCTTCTCCTCCTACGTACTTTTCTTGAACATAAATACATTTTCTTTATCTGATAGGAAACTTTCAAATACCTTTAGGAAAAAAAGCAGTTGGCTGCTCCAATAACCAATTGTACAGTTGCAGCGCGCTATGTCGTTTTTAAATCTTTCCTCTTTTAATCCCTCCTTCAGTGTATGTACGCAACTATTGCGAACCCGGTTACCACGTGTGTTTTCCCTCGTACGAGTATTCTTCTTTTGTTTATGTCAAACTGTAACGCGTTTCTTTCAATATATATTATTAAACCATTATGATTAATGTGAACCACATTTCATTAATTACAAACACAACATGGCAGTCACACGGAATCAGGTCTGGATTCTAAAGTGGTTATTCTAGAGGTATTCGGTGTATTTTAGTGAGTTTATCGTGAGTTAAAGCTGCTATATGCGGCCGTGTGTTGTCCAGAAGGACACCGGAAGTCAATTGCTGGCGTCGTTTGTTGCGACAAACAGTCTTACATCATCTGCGAGCAGGAAATAGTAGTCACTATCCTTCGACCACGTAGATAGTCAATCAACAACCCAACTTTTGAGTCCCAAGACACAGTTACCAGAATTTTCCTGGCTGACAGTCGAGTCTTGGCCTTCATCAGCGCTCCCTTTTTAATTCTCCACCACCTCATAGTCATTCTGTTGTTTTCTGAGGTATAATGATGGACCCATATTTCTTTACAGATCGCGATATAGTCCAAAAAAGCTACGCTTTACCTTCAGAGCGATTTACAAATTTAATAATCAGTACGTAATTGATTGGACTGGAACAACTAAATTCCATTTTCTATGATGGCATCAGAAAGCTTTCTATCCCATAGAAAAAATGTATTTCTATTGAAGATTGCGATATAGTTCAAAAAAAACCTCGCATTACCTTCAAAGCGATTTACAAATTTAATAATCAGTACGTAATTGATTACTGGGACAACTAAATTCCATTTTCTATGATTGCATCAGAAAGCTTTCTATCCGAAGGAAAAAATGTATTTCTGTTGAAGGAACTTGCGTAGAAAAATAAGGCAATCCATTTGTATTTCTATCTATCCTCAATAAAGCTGTGTAAACAAAAAATCCAGTTTATATTTGAATGACCCTCGCACGATTATTTATCTCTTTAAGGCTTGAAAAGACACGATGAAAGAAGAAAATTCGCACGAATTAACTCGTTACCGTGACTTTCTCTTGTTTTGTCATAAGTTTTTGGCCGTAGAAAGTGGCCCGCGAGACCATTTGCGTCTGACAGGTCTCTGCTTCAGAGCGTTCCATCCTAGAGATAAACTTACATCGGTAACAGAGTGGAAATGATTCGCTCGGCTTCTTCCGGTGGCGGTGGAAACTCCTGCGTGGGTATCCCTACGGGATCCTGTGGCTCTGGACAGTCCGGAACTGGACGCAACGCTACCAGGGCCATCTTTGCTTTTCGTCCATTCATGCTCATGTAACCGTCGTCCTCGGATTGGTGTCCTGTCGACATAATGCACACGTATATGGTTAAATCCTATTGAGGGGATGTTCTGATTTGGACGACTGAAAAATAGCCGATTTTATAGAATTTTTATTGTTGCAATGGCAAGGAATATTGAAACAAGACTTTCTCATAAACATACACTTTGAAAAAGAAAAATGGCAGCAACAATTATACGAAATAAAGAAAAACCAATCCCGTACCAAGGTTTTTTTACACACATACAATACACAGGGAAACAGGAATGGAATAAAATATGGGACCACAAAAGAATAAAAACTCACAATGTAACACACGACTTTTACCAATCAGTACCCCGGTGTGACATGAACAGGAAAGAAAAAATAATAATGACTAGATTAAGAACTGAACACTCAAAAATTATTAGACGCGAACATCTATTTAAAAAAACGGACCCACCCACTGCGATTCCTGTGACAAGTGAATTACAATTGACCACCTACGAGTGCAGAAGATCTGAGTTACAGAGAAGGAAGTACAATTTGAACCCAGAAACATGTGTTAAAGACCATCAACTATCTTAAGGACGCTAAACTCTACAATAGTATACAATAGAATAGTATAGTACCACGAATCAAACAGAAATTCAATTAAATCCGTCGCTAATTACCAAGCAGTGGATGCGACGTAAAATAAAACCATTTAAACAAAGACTTTCTCGTAATGTTAAGTAATGATAAAACTACTTATTAATATGTTTTTCATTGACCATTGTTTGACAATAATTATTGAAACATTCGCTTTAACGATGCGCAGTTTTTGCGGAAGGTTTGCGCTACGTGCAAGTTTTCTTTCAGATTACAGATTTTAAACGAATCAGACTTATGAGTTCATAAATAAAACAATATTCTGCGGAAAATGCCGTAGAATTTTTTTTGAAAAATATCGAAGACTGACAAAATGGTGTCACCACAACTGTCTGTATATTATTATATTACATGTGCATTGTCATCACAAAGACGTCACTTATGTCAGTACAATGAAAGTAGTGACTTCCTGTCACGCGCAGACGGACCTTAACGCTTCAGGGCTGTCGCACGCACACTTCAAAAGAGAAATCTTTAATTTTTTTTACCAAATTGGTCTATGCTTTCTTTTTGTTTACTCTACACGTTGATTGCAGGACTCGTGAAAATGTCTACGAAGCTTAAATTTTGTTCCGAGATAATTAGAAATTACGTAATCAAACATTTGTTGTAGCACTTTTTTGTGGAACTTCATTCAAATTTTCGAAACTTATTTAGATTTATTTTCTGTAATACTTCATTTTCAAAATTAATTCGCTTAGTTACTTAATGAAAAGACCTTAAAAAAATATTTTAAGTAGAGAAATTTGTTTCATATTTTTTGGGCTAATATACAAGGAAACAATTAAGATAAAAATTTTAAATTTTTAAGGCTTGTTCCTATTATTATAAGTAATAACTCTGCCAAATTTCAAATCATTTCATCGATTTTTAATGGAGTTATACAAAATAAGCCACCGACTGAAAAAGTTCTAGATATTTTCCATTGAAAACTTTCGAAGGTTTGGGGCACGTGTTAATGTTAACATTAAGAGATCAAATTTTTCATGAATCTTTTTTTATATATTTCCAAGATATTCAGGGATTGCATAACACAGATTTAAAAATAAGGATTATATTAATTTACAACTTCGTCCATAAATATATGAATACTTACTAGCTCAATGAATAATTAATATATACTGTAAATAATTATTGTACAATTATTTATTGTACAATTATGTATCTAGTATCATTTAATAATAGAAGTTTTATGATGAAGTTTAATTTAATTATGTATTTAGTAACATTTAATAAAGAAGTTTTATGATGAAGTTTAATTTAATAATATTCAAGTTTTGAGTGGGATATTAAATTTCGTAGACAAACTGTCAAATCATTTAGGTAGATAATTTAGGAAAAAACGTTTAATATCAGAAAAATATTTATGAGGAGATATTACAAAATAAATGGAATTATTTTATTATATAGCTAGGGTGTTAAGATTTATATAAAAAGTTTTATGATGAAGTTTAATGAAAAGAAAATTAATTGTTTTTTATTATTACCAGTGAGACATTGAATAAACTATTGATAAAATATATTCTCTAATGTAACGCGAACTAAATACAAAAACATAAGTGATATTTATTAATACATTCATACTTTTCTTTAGATGCTTATTTTAATTGAGGAAGAGTCTACATACTTATGAGCGGGGTTATATATTCTTTTTTATGGTATAAACAAGACGTTATTATCATAATATGTGTAAATAAAAACAAAAGCTTTAAAGTAACTTTTCTTGCTGAATTAAAACCAAAAACAATATTCTGATTTCAGAATTACAAATAAAGTTTAGTAAATAACGTGATTTTGAATATTTTAAGTTTCATTTACATTGAATTTGTCTTTGTCGATTTAAAATAACTTTCATAAAGGCAATAAATTGAGCGTAAAATAACAAATAAAAAAAAAAGAAAAAAGAAATGAATTGAAATAAAAAATAATAGATGTCCCCGTGGCAAAGAACAAATCCGTGGTTCGATATCTCGCAAGTACAGCAGTGGTAGCTTTCACGGTTCACGGCCAACATTTTCATAGCGAAAATGTTAATAAATAATACTACGATATATAAATGGCTACCAGTTTGTTATTCGATGAATACTTCATTATCAAAAATCATTAACGAACAGCGTTTCAATTCTTGAACCGATAACCTATTTCAAACTCTAAATGTCATGGAGTTATTGATAGAACACCGCGACTTGTTGCGTCTAGGTTAACGTTACGAAAGGTTAAAGTCGGTTCCGAGTTCGTTGACATAAGGATTCTGCGCAATTATGTCGCGCGGGCAATCAAGCATCTTCGCGCGCGAAATTGAGAACCGTGTAGAAGAAGGCGTATCGAGAACCGACTAATAATGAAATTTGGCAATCGACACAGCTCTTAAAAAAGTTGCGGGTTTTGCCGAAATGTACACACGTGAAACTGATCCTATTGCTATTTTTTTTTTCACTGGTGTTAATAAGTGATTTCAGTGTGTGGAAACGTTGTTATTAAGAAAGTGGTTCTTCATATTGCTGCTTATTTCTCTACACTACAAGACATATTGCAGGAATGGTAAATACAAAATGCTATCGTTTCTAATGTTCTATTATACCGTGGTAATAGCTTTTGAAACAAAGCATACTTTACGAGAAATTTCTTGAGAATAAACTCTTTAAATCTAAAACTAAAATATAATATTAATTGAATATATTAATCTTTAACTAAATATAAACTATATATAATAAACTACTATATTATGTATACTAATATTATTTATATCTTTTATAATTTCAGATAATAAATATATAATATCTAATATATTATAATATACATTATAATAATATAAATAAAAAAAGTATGTAGACTCTTCGTCAATTGAAATAAGTATCTAAAGAAAGGTATGAACGCATTAATAAATATTACTTATGTTTCTGTATTTAAATTAAATAATGTATATATATATTATATTTATATTTATAATATTCTAATAAATAATAAATCTAAGTTTACTTGAAGTGTGTGTACATCATTTGTCCAACAGAAACTTCGACGAGATAGATTGACATTCGCAACATGTAGCTGGGCAAAACTTATATTTCAATGACTATTTTGAGTAACTAATAAAAGGTAAACAAATTTTGTACGTTACTCGTTACATCAAGAGTAGAAACTGAGTTATAAAAATTATACTTCACAGGGATCAAATAATGGGTGCAACACACGTAGGTGATTACGACACGTTGTCATCTATTATTTAAATAAAATTTTACAAAATTCTGTTGCATTGTATGCAAGTTTCACGTAATTTTTATTATTTGTTAACGTCTCACATATGCAAGTATCATGTAATTTTATTATTTGCTAACGTTTCTAAAATTATTCAATGTTTATATTAATCCGTCACTTTGATGATTTCGCAAAAAACCTATCGCAAAATTTATTTTTACCATAAACAGCAGCGTCAATTTTGTTTACTACTCCCTACATCATACGCTCGACGAGAGGTCAAAAGGGATATGCGTTGCAAATGACTGTTTTGCTCGCGATAGATTGTTAAAGTTCCAGCCAATGAGATTGCGCGAACCTTACAAACACAATATAGCGTTGAGACTGGGACAAAGTTGTCTAAAGGACCATTTATATAGGTCCTGTGGACGGCGCTAGTGATGCATAGTAATGGAAGATAAAGCGAACGAATAGCGTCACGCCTACAACCAACTCTGCACACTCTAATTGGCTAAAACTTTAACTACCTCTAGCGAGAACACCAATTGTTTACGACACGAATGGTCCTTTTCGATGCTTTTATCCTCTTGGAATATGTAGAAGTGGAATCAAATTTGACTATTATAATTAAAACAAATCTGGTCTCGACTAAAGCTCTTAAATACATTATTGTCCCGTTTTTGAATCAGGTATATTAACAGTTTATCTACCGACCTATTTAGAAACAGGCTGCAATTTAAAAAAGAATCTTCTACATTAGATATTAAACAATGTTTAAATGAAAGAAAACATGTAAAAGGAATAATAACTTATCTTGAGAAAATCAAAATAATTAAAGATATTTAGTACTTAATTAGTCTCAGGTAGTTTCAAATTGTTAGACAAAAAAAAACCAAGTGATGTATGTGAAATACAATGTAATAAGACACAAAATATAACGATGTATTGCAACGTGGTCGCTAATGGCTAAAAAGCTGATGCGACATTAAATAAATAATTTAAAAAAAAAAAAAAAAAAAAAAAAAACACTTCTACATTAGTATACTTTATTCTATGCTGACATTAATTTCTCTATACTGTTACTAGGTACATCAAAAAGTCAAGTTTGTTTCCAAAAACTGAATACTGGAATTAAGAAGCCTATAAGTAGCCTTTCGGTAAATAAAATTTTAAGTTGACATCCTTTCAGGGGGTTTTAGATTTAGATACAGTTTTTAAAACATTGTTGTCCCGTTTTTGAATCAGGTATATCAACACTTTATCTACCGGCCTACTTAGGAACAGTCTGCAATTTGAAAAAGAATTTTCTACATTAGTATATGTTATTCTATGGTGACATTTACAATATTGTAACAATTGTACAAGACAATTAATCAAATGGTTGTTTCCAGTCGATAAGATTCTTAAGATTCTTTTTCAATTAAAATTAAATTTTAAAATAATTGAATTATAACTGTTGTATTAGATAATACTATTTAAAATGTATACAACGCGCTCCTGACTATACTAGTTTATTATAAAGCCATTAGATGTATTGAAAACTCTTACGGTTAGTTGTTCGATAATTTATCATCTGTACGTTGATAAAATAAGTAAAATACATATTTTACCGGTAAAATCGACTCAATAATAGAGAGTAACCCAGGAGCCAAGATATTTTCGAGCCAACTCAGATATTTCCATAGGTTTTTCAAACAAATCTCCATCGATCCACGAACGCTAGATTCATCCCCTGAAAGCCGCAGCAAACATTTATTTTACACCCCGGCACATGTACCGAAACGAATATCATTCTCGCCATCCCCGAGTACCACCGACGAATAAAACTCCGCGCCATTGCTGCCTTTTCCGTAGCCACTAATAAATCTTTCGAAACGATTGCCGTTGCCAAAATGTTCCCCGCTCCCGAAATTACCCCAACGATGTAAATGTCGGAGAGTTTTCGCGTCGAACCGAGCGAGCGCGATTCTCGAGAGCGAGCTCCGTTAAAGTGGCCTATTTCACGGGGTCCTTACCTCGGTCCCTCGGGCGATCTGCCCCCGCCGCGTTACGAAAAATAGAAGCCAATTAGCGAAATAATTACGCGCAAACGGGTCAAACACGGTGGCGTTGTTTGCGCGCCGACGGTAAAAGCCAACGGGACAAAGCAACGCCGAGGAGAACGATGGTAGATTGTTTTTTTATTCCGCTGGAGAAAAACGAGTTCCGGTGGAGGAATGACGGCGTTCGTCCCTACCGTGACTGTTCGTTCCTTCGGGGACCGTTCGATAGAATCAAAGCGATTCTACGGTACGAGTTTTGGCAAACCTTTAGGTAAATCAACAGACCCATCTCGAGATACGTGCGTGTGAGTAAAACTGCCAGGTGAAAAGCGGAAGAGTGAACGGCCAGGTAGAGGAATAACGGGCTGAATTGGAGGAAAAGGTTCGGTGGAAGGAGGACGTAAAAAAATACCTAAGGACGGACTCTCGTCGTCAGGCGTGAGACCAATACTCGGTTCCGTGCTGCTTCCACAATCCCCGACGTCTCCGCCGCCCCTGCCTCCACCACCGCCGCCGCCGCCACCGCCGACGCCGATGCCGACGCCGACGCCGACGCCTCCGCCACCGTCGACTTCGCCTCCGCCGCTCTCACCCTCTGTTTCGTGCTCGTCGTACTCTGAGAGCACTTTGTCCAGCAGCTCGATCGATCGTTGCACATCGTCACCTCTGGAACAAACGTATCGTTCGATTCTATAGTGATTACGCGTAAGATCTAGGTAGGGTAACGTTGTCAGACGCACGGATTAGATCGCGCGATTCCGACGCGGGACAATTAGCGCGCCGCAGAGGCGATCCTATTGCGGGCGATTTAGAGGGGATGTCTCGTTTCTTGATCGAGAAACAAGTGATCGGTTGTGCTTGAAATTCAAATTTATACAGGGTGAGTCCGAAGAAACAGAACACTTAAATATCTCCGTTCCTTTTCGGTGTACAAAAAAACTTCTAAGGACAAAGTTATAGAGCTGCCGGAAAGACTGAATATTCAAGCGGCTTTCAAGCCGAGTCAAACCGGTACCTGATTTCCGAGCCGAGTCGAGTACTTGCAAAAACCGAGTAGCCTGAAAGATTCAAGCTACCCGAAAGAAACCAAGTAACTTGAATTTTTCAAGCTATCCGAATAGAATCGAGCGGTCCGAAAAAATCAAGCGGCCCGAAAGAACCGGGCAACTCGAATGGTTTCAAGCTTTTCCGAGTACACATGTTAGTCCGCCGCCGGGCAACAATGGTATCATAAAAAGGACGTAGCAAACTAGACCCAAAGAAGGTCGACCATCATTTTCCGTTTTTCTTATCGAATCTTAACGGATGTATTACCAATCGATTCCTTATGTTATCCCGATGAAAATGGTACCAGACACGATACAATTCGGATTATTTAGAAGGAAATTATACGGAAAAAATGATTTGCACGCTTTTTGTCTATCTTCGTTAAAAATAGTCCGATTTACATAGTGTTTGGTAGCGTTTTCATCAGAAAAACGTAAGGAATCCATCGGCGTTACTCCCGTAATAATACGATGCATATGAAGTGAAATCGGGTGATTACTGAAAGCAATAATAACGGAGTTATGACTTGAAACAATTGCGTGGACCACCCGGTATAATAAAATAAATATAAAATACAATTGCTTCATACGTAACACATATTAACATATTTTCTATATCAAAGTAAAATCACAAATTTTCGTTTACGTACTAAAATAAATTTGAATACAAATTCCTTGTCAATAACATTGTTTTATATATATGCCGTATAAAAATAAAATTCAACAATTTCAATTTTTACCTGGTACAATAAATTTCACTAAAAATTACTTGTAAATAATATATTTGTATAAATTCTCTACACAAAAATAAAATCCTAAATAATAATAACTTTAATTTGAATAAATATTACTTATAAATAACGTGTTCGTTTATAAAATATATTCTAGAAACATTTTGTATGGTAACATAAATGGGTAAAATTCGCAATAAAATCAATTATTATGAACGAAGGAATTAAAAAGGGCTGTTGTTCTCAGAACAGATCGAACTTGAATGAATTGCTCAAAGAACGCAACAAATTGAATACACAACCGCCTCAATCGCTTATTTTGTAAAAGCTGCAACATCTACCAACTTTAATGAATTTTTTTTAAACGAATGCCAAGTTTATCGTTATAATTCTTTTACACTTTGTTTAACTGCTTATCAGTCGTACGTGATAATTTTTTAAACAGTTTCAAGTAATTCTTCCTTGCTGTTATCTTGCTCGTAATGTACACGTGTTTAAAAATTGCATTTCGTTCTTATAGAAAATCGGACCTCTCAGGTTGATGAAAACCAATTAAAAAAAGAAAAAATTCATAATTGGCATGCTTATAGTTACCGTTTGTACTAAAATAAGTAATTATCTATCTTAATAATAATTAATTTATATTACCGCAAATACGTCGAGGGTCGTCGCCAATTAACTCGCGCGTTCAAACATATTTCACGAATCGGAAATCGAAACCTACGCGTTTGCGATAGTATGAATAAGTTCCTTTGAAGTCAACGTACAATGGAGAGATCGCGGGGAGATCGGATACATGGAAAGTAGCGATAGTGACTACGATGGTGGTAGTTAATGACAGGCCTGAGTTGTATTTCGATACCATCGCTCTTGCGTTTGAAATTCATACTCTTGTATCGAACCATTCTAGCAGACGCCACAGGCGTAACAATTTATCATGTGATGAATCGATACCGAAAAGAAGCGACACTTTATTTATTCAATTGGACTGTTATGCTGTTATGTTTTTATTTCCTCGATATCCGAATATATGCACGTTCTATTCATTATTCAACGAATGAATTCGGTAAACTGTTTATTTTATTCATTACTGGGAATTTTTAACCTTTCAGCTATTGAACGCCGTTATAGTGGATTTCGCATATACAGTAATTCCTCCATAAATGCACAAGCTCGCGACTGACCTTGTGCGGTTATCGTAGAGTTCGTATATTCTCTGATGTTTGCCGACGAGTTTCGAACGTAGAGAATAACAGCGAATAAAGAAGAGGACGGAGCGAAAACACCAGGGTATGTCGGTGAGACAATTTAATCGGACGATGAAACTATCTTTTTATTATTAATGTTTTTTATGTAAAACTTTTACCATCATATTCCTGGCATTTTTCTGATTAAAATGAAACCAAACACGATATAATTCGGACGATATTTACCATGCATCTTTTTTTAGTTAGTGTCTACGATATATGATACATAATAAGTTGTTACAAGTAAATGTATTGCGAATTATGTCGTGTTTGGTCTCATTTTAATCAGAAAAATGTCAGGAATATGATGGTAAAGGTTTAACATGAAAAAAGTTAATAATAAAAAAAATTTCACCGTTGCAATTAATTGTCTTACCCAGTAATCTAATCGCGGATTAGTATCTTACATTGCTCGGCGATCGAACTCCGTGACCCCTCAAGAGATATACCCAGTGGTGGGGCTGGTTTCTGTGCATTTATCGTAGACAAATTTGTGTATTTATGGAAACATTACTGTACCTTTTTGTACGAATTATGTGGATTAATACCAAATTTTCAATTTCATTATTATTATTAAGTATTAAAAGATGTTCTTTTAGCTATATACACGTAAAAAATTAAATGTAGAAACTTATTTTAGCTCTTTTAAAAAGATCCTTTCTTGAATCCGCATCTCGCCTCGTTTTTTCTCTTCAGCTAGAGTTACAAAACAAATTCACGTAAAGTCACGACGAAATGTGTGTAAATGTATTCTTTGGACCTTTCCTATGATGGTTGAACAAGATTATTTTGCAGTCACTCGCATCTCCGGAAGTTATAACAATGTGTTTGTATGTAGTCAGTATCTATTTCAAAATTTGCTCTTCAAGATTTAGTTGCAAACAAGTAGGTATTTGAAACTAAATATGCAGGTATGGAAATATTAACTATTTCTAAATATACTCAATTACTCATAATTGATTCGCTCAGAGAAATGGATTTAATTATACTTTTCGCTCATTTTTTGAATTATAGCGATATTTTAATCTTTACAAACTAGGAAATGACTTGCAGTTTGATAAAGTTTGGTGAATAAATTGTTTATTTCAATTATAAATAAAAAAATAGAATATGTAATATTAAATATAAAGTATTTCTTGCTAAAACAGAACTAATTATTTTCATTTAAAAACTTTAATAATGCTAGATTCTTCAAATCTTTCAATCAATATGTTTAAGAACTTTTTCATACGAAACATTCTTGATATATGTATCATTCGAGAAAAGGGAAAAAACATGTTTACATTGTCGTTAGTCGAGTGTTTCTATAATTGTAGTGATGCTTGGGAGCAGCTCACACAAAAATTGACAAAAATTTCGTACCGATAAATTTAATTCCGCTGTAATAGAAAAAATTACAAATGAGTATCGCTGTACCATCGATGACGTCGAAAACGATAGCAATAATTCTTGCGGAGAATCAAAAAGAAAGACGAAAGAGTCGACGGTGCAAGAACCGAAGTTTCCAATAGAATGCGAGTTTATAACGAAATATTTATCTCCATACGAAGTGGTTACTGTTTCTGTTGACCATTCAGCATCGAAGTGGCCGCGTCGAGTGGTGTAAATCTGTCGACTATAGCGTTAGAGACTTTTTCTCGAAAGTTGCGAACGTTCTGTCTTGCGGTCTATTGCGCTTCGAGCCTCCCGTTTCGAAGCTGAAATCGGACAGAAAATCTTTCCGTCTGGCTATCGAACACTCGCCCACGTTCTACTAAACCGTCGTACTTCAAACTTGCAGTACGCCCGGTTTTGTAGCAGCGACAACTATTCAACGTGACGTGCCGCGCGACAAGTTGCACGACAATCCCGAAAACTTTACAATTACCGTTTGGACAGCCACATAAACCATAGTTCTATAATTTATGGCACGTCTGTGGCCCATTTGCGTTTGAAATTGTTACAAATGATCCTAAGGAATGGCTGGGAACGATTCGAGAGTTACAATGATCTGCGGTTGCCCAGCAATTGTATCAAGTTTCGTACATACTTAACAATTTATCTACCGGGCTATTTAGAAGCAGACTTTAATTCAAAAAAGAATTTTCTACAGTAGCATACGCCAATCTAGGCTGACAATAATTCCTCCATACTGTTACTAGGTACATTGAAAGCCAAGTCTGTTACCAAGCAGTGAACATTGTAAGTAGACAACTATCAACATAGTAAATAAATTCCAATAACTAAATACTGCAATTAAAAAGCCTATAAATAGGCTCCCGGTAAATAAAGTGTTAATTATGGAGGAGGCACTACACGTTGTGTTTTCTATGTAAAATTAGACATCTTTCGGTACAATTTTCTCAGCTATGTCTTATCTGATCGTACCCAACCTTTTTTTAGGTTGTTCTATAAAATATAAACTACAAATTGGTGGTAAATTTTGTTCAATATACATTTTCAAAAGAAAAAACAGGACTACTTTGATACAAAAATTATGTTGTTTTTTTCCACCCTTTTTTATTTTTTTATTTTTTTAAGTAAGTACAATTTGAACAAACCGCCTTCACTGTTTTACAGATAAGGCGATTTTACGTGAAACAAAAATAGTCCGGATTCGATAGGGAAACTGTAGCCTGAGTAATTGGTATCGAAAGACCAAA